GAGGGCTGTGGTTGGGGACTCTGGAGGCCACTGGGGGAGGCTCCCTGACAGTTCCCCATGGAGGGGGCCACTTGACTTCTCCCGACCAACCCAGTGCATCATCAGGCAGAGTCTGCAGTCAGGGTCAGGCTGGAGGAGCATCCAGGAAAGGACTGGTGATAGCCTAAACCCAGACCCCTGTATGGACCCCTACAGAGCCAGACAGGAGAAGTTTGGGGTAGCCCCCAAACCTCAACCAGCGCTGTGAGTCCTAAGTAGGCAGCAGAGAGGAATGGATTTCCCTGACACCTAAAACAGGGATGGACATAAATGGGGTCCGGAGGAAGGCAAGTTTGGGTCTGAGAGTGGAAAACTCTGAAACAAGGAGCCAAGTGATATCTCGACCATCCTGGTCCCATCTTCCCTCAAACTGGGGGCCTAGAGAGGGAGAACAATAAAGGTGGACGATGCCAGGATGGTGGCCGCTGTCCAGGAGGTGAGTTCCCAGGCTGGGAAAAGAGGCCTGGTGGCCCTCCTCTGAGGCCGGGCTGCGGGGGTGGAGAGATCAAAAGTAGACCAGGTTCCAGAAGGATCTGGGAGCTGGGAGGTGGCACATGTGTCTGTATGATCCTTGGCTGCTGAACCCAGAGAAGTAGAGGAAAGAGGAAGAAAAGGGGAGGAGACTGGGCAAGGCCAGGGAGCTCCAGGATCAGATGCTTTTCTTTCCTGCTCTACCGACATCACCCTTTGTAGACCACCAGGAATTTTCTCCAAGTGTGTGTGGGGGGGTCTTCACTCAGACACACCCTCAAGGGTGCTCCCTCTCCTAGGCCCTTTCTGAGCCCCCTACCACTTCCTATAAGTGGCATCTCAATCTCAAACATCCCTTTCTTTCCTAGATAGCTCAGGCGCTGTCTCCTCTTTCCTCCACAAATCTCTGCCATCCTGCAGCCCAGACCCTGGACAGAAAAGGGCCCCCAAACTCTTTGCCTGCCCTACAAGGCCCCAAGTCCGGGCCAGAATCCAGACCCCATGGTGGCCAGGCTCTTTGTTCTCCTCTAGCCTCAACCCACCCCCTCCTTTTTTTTTTTTTTTTTAACTGGAATTTCTCCCATAAAAGGGGAGGGGGCAGCAAGAGCTTCAAGCTTTTTTTTCTTTTATTTTTTTTCTGAGGAATATGGAGGAAACAGAAAAAGGAAGGCAGTGAGGGAAATCAACTAATGCCTAATTTTCAGAGGAGGAAATCTGGGTGTTGAACAAGGGACACACCAACCATTTCTGTCATCCTTTTCTGTAGCCTAGTATTCCAGTACCCAGCCCTCAAGTGTGTGTGTCAGACTCACACCCTCCCAGCTACAAATGCTTCCAAGGGACACCTCTGACTTTATCTGAAATACAGTGGGTCAGGAATTCCATCCCTCAACTTCAGAAAGACACAGACATCATTTTTCTGTTTTCCTGGGAGACGTCTTTGTGAGTAGAGTTGGATAAACATGTAAATTAAAAGTGTGTGCAGACAGTAGAACAGACAAACAGAGGCCTTTATTTGCATACAGAAGATTTAGGCAGAGATCTGGGTGTTTCCATGAACACATCTGGGCTGTGTCCACAAGGGCATGTGCTGGAAGAGTGCACGCACACAGCCTACACACATCCACACCCACCCACCCACCCACACACTTCCAGTGAAAAGGCACACTAAATATCTCCTTTATATGTTGGAGCATTTGAAAGAAAAAAATGCCACAGTTGAACTTGGCCGGGCACTGGGTTCCCGGGAGGAGGCGGAGGGCTCCTGCCGCCCTTGCAACGTCCCTTTGAAAAAGAAGCCCAGAGCAGAGCCCCGGCTTCCCGACGGGGCCGAGGGGCCATTTTCCATTTTCTTTCGGTATAATTAAATTCTCTGTCTTTCTCTCTCTCCCTCCAACACCCCCACCCCAGACGCTAGCAGCTCAGCTAGAGACCCAGAAGCCGCATTCCTTCTCACCGCTCTTGATTTTCTCTAAACTTCACCGGTCGCCAAGCCCCGCCGCACAGTCCCCGCAGCCAGGGGCGAGGTGTGGTCGAGTGGCAGCGGGTGAGCGCCGCCGCCGAGGCTGCAGCGCGCGGCTTTCCAGGGCGGGCTCGCCTCGGAGATGTAATTACTACGTTTCCAGTGGTGCATATTCTCCTGGAGTGTTTAATTTGATTTTATTTGTGTCTCGGCGAGATCCAGGTTTTTTTT